ACTTGTGTGGATGGAGTCCGTTGTCATGAGTCCGTTACCGTGGCGTACTGGATGCAACAAGTGAGGCATTTGTTTTGGTTGGTGTCGGCTCAGTTTTGGGAAAACTTCACCGAGGTGGAGAATTGTGAACACGGATGAAGGTGGGGGCCACAACACGTGAATAGCGCTCATGTGAATAGCTGTGAATGACAGTCTGGAAATGTGAACAATGCTCTACAGGCTGGAAAATTGTACCCGCGTAAAGAAACCGCATGATTGTGGCCCACCCGAATCAAAAGAATGATATAAATATCAACGTCTCATCAAACCTAGGTAAGCGTGCAAGGTGGGAGTTTCTTCTCTGGCGGAATGATATAAATATCAACGTCTCATCAAACCTAGGTAAGCGTGCAAGGTGGGAGTTTCTTCTCTGGCGGCTACAGCAGGAGAGGGTTTCATTAGGAGCGGCTACAGCAGCGCGGCTGATTCAAGAGTACAGAGGATTCGAGCAAAACAGAGGGGGGAAAAGCATATTGCTTTTTTCGGCTGTTTTGAAGAGTAGCTTTTGTGCAGTTGTTTTAGGGTTTTGTGCTCCCCTTTTGAGAGAGATAATTGTGTGAGGGATCTGAGAGTTTGTGTGAGGGTTTAAATTGTGAGATTGTAAACCCAGTTGTATCTCTCCCTCTATTAGTAGATCTCCCCCCTCCTTGCCCCGTGGACGTAGGCAATTTGCCGAACCACGTAAAATTTATGTTCTTGCCGTGATTTGTAATAGCTTGTAGGTTCCCTCGACGCGGAGTCTTAGAGCTGACGAGAGGAAGAGCTAATATCCCACTTTAATGGGATATTAGGCTTCAGATTCTTGTTCCCTTTGAGAAACAAGAATTCTTATCGATCTTTCTCTCTTATTGTGCACCAGAAACTCTGCCGAAATTTCCGCTGCGCACAACAAGTGGTATCAGAGCCCAGATTCCAGATCTAGGGTTTGGTTGGAGGAGTAGATCAATTTGGAGGCCGTTTAGGACTTCGTTGGTGATAAAGGTGGGGATCTTTTGGTAAAGACTCTATCTTTCAGTATTGGATCTATTCTTTGTTCGTTGGTGCGTAAGATGTCGGGGAAAGAAGGTGCTTCGGGTGTCGAGGGTGGTTCTTCTGGTGCGAAGACCATTCAGAGTTTGAATATCCACTCTGTGAAGATAGATGTGGAGAAATTTAATGGCACAAACAACTTTGGATTATGGAGATGCGAGGTTTTGGATGCGCTGAACGCGCAGAATTTGGAGGATACCTTGGAGTTAGATGGCAAGCCAGATGAGATTGAAGAGAATGTTTGGAAGAAGATGAATCGAACGGCGTGTGGTGTGATTAGGTCTTGTTTGACTCAAGATCTAAAATATGATGTGATGAATGAGACTTCTGCGAAGAAGATTTGGGAGATTCTCGAAAGCAAGTATTTGACCAAGAGTGTGGAAAATCGCTTGCATTTGAAGAGGAGACTTTATCGTTTCCAGTTGAAGAAGGGAACCTCCATTAGAGATCACATGAACCACTACACAAAGCTTCTTGCGGATTTGGCGAATGTGGATGTCAAGATTGAAGATGAGGACAAGGCGTTGCTGTTGTTGAGTTCCTTGCCCGACGAGGAATATGAGACCTTCGTTCTTACTCTGATTAATGGGAAGGCATCACTTTCGTATAGTGAGGTCACTGCTGCATTGGTGAATTATCAGCTTCGGAAGAAGGATAAGGAGAATTCGACTGAGTCGGTAGCAGAGGCGTTGGTCGCAAGAGGGAAGAATCCGAACCGGAAGAATTGGAAGTCACAGTCTAGAGTAGGGCATCCTACAATTGGAAAAGATCAGTGTGCTTGGTGCAAGGAGACTGGTCATTGGAAGAAAGACTGCCCAAAGCTCGACGAATGGATGAAGAATAAGCAGAAGGGAAAAGGGAAGCAACCATCATCAGAAGCAAACATCGTATCGGATGGTAATAATTCTGACTCTTCTATTTATTCGCTTTCTATGAGTCCTACAGATAGCTATTCGGAGGAATCTGAATGGATGTTGGATAGTGGTGCGACCTATCATGTGTGCCCTAGAAGGGAATGGTTCTCCAGTTTTGAGAAGCTGGTGGATAGTGGTGTGGTGTACATGGCTGAGAATCATGCATGCCAGATCCTTGGGATAGGAAGAATTCGCATCAAGATGTTTAACGGGACTGTTAGGGAGATAAATGATGTGAGATATGTTCCTTCTTTGAGGAAGAACTTGATCTCGATTGGAGCTTTGGTTGGAGAGGGTCTGAAGGTTCGTGTTGAGGACATGGTTCTCGAGATTGCGAGAGACTCTCGTATTTTGATGAAGGGCGTCAGGAGGAATAACCTGTATTACTTGACTGGAGGTATAGTGACAGGTGGAGAGCTGACGACTTCTGTTGATTCGACTAGACTGCGGCATTTGGGGCTTGGCCATTCCAGTATTGATTCCTCGCATAGATTGAAAGCGGGTGTGAAGACCTGCAGTTTGAAGTCCAGTGAACATGTTGATGTGAGCAAGAAGACCGAGGTAAAGTTTGGCACCTCTATTCACCATGCTAAGGGTCATTATAGAGGAGTTCACGTGGATGTTTGGGGGCCTTCCAAGGGGGCATCATTGGGAGGTAATAGGCGTTTGGTTTCCTTTGTTGGTGACTGTTCTAGGCGTGTTTAGATTGCAACCAAATCCCCTTTGGAGAAAGTCCTTGTAGTATACAACAGATTGAAGAAGTGTGTAATAGACAGAAAGGTGGAGGTACTCCATTCTGGTGGGAGGTACAAGATGGACCTATTTCTGTATTGGAGCTGAGCTCACGGCATTTCGAGACACTTCGTTGGAAAGGAAATCTTGGGGCAACTAGATAGGGTGAATAATTCGAAGAATCGTGCCTTGTTGGAGGAGGATCGGTGTTTGTGGTCGAGCAATGGTTTGCAGAAGAGTTTCTGGACAGAGGCTTCGACATATTTGGGTCATCCTATTAAAGAGTTGTCAACTGCTGTGATTGGAGGTAAAACTCCATTGGAAGATAGGTCTAGTAGTGTCACTTTGGTTGAGGCTTCGATGAGGAAGCCAATTGACTCTCAGCAGGTGGAGAGTTTTGGACAGACCTTAGAGGTATCACAACGGGTGGAGAGTGATGCTACTCCATATTGGGTGGAGATTACTCCACATACTCCAGGTCATTCTGCATTGGTTGGGATTCCAGCTGAGGTGACACAGCGTGGAAGTCATTTGGATTCGGATGCAGATGATGAGTTAGGTTTTGACTCGAGTGCAGCTGATAGATGCAGTTTGGATATGACCATTGGTTCACCTCAGGTGGAGGTGTTTGAGGCCATTGGAGGTGCTATCAGCCGCAGAGTTGATGATATTGGAGAAGGGTTGCGAACTCTTCTATTGGATTGAGGTCGTTAGCGGCCATTTGGGTGAACTACGTTCGGCTTGATTCCTTGGGCAAGAGGATACGTAGGCAGTCTTTATGATGCAGCCGGGTTTGGATTAGTTGATGGGGGTGAGATCGATTTGGTGAGCGACATCGACATTTGGGGTGAGTGTTTGCACTCCCATTTGGGTCTCAGCAAGTGAGGCATTTGGTGTAGTCGGTGTAGGCTCAGTTTGATTGGTGAGTAGATACCGACGTTTGGGTTGAGTGTTCACACTCCCGTTTGGGTCTCGACTTGTGTGGATGGAGTCCGTTGTCATGAGTCTGTTGCCGTGGCGTACTGGATGCAACAAGTGAGGCATTTATTTTGATTGGTGTCGGCTCAGTTTTGGGAAAACTTCACCGAGGTGGAGAATTGTGAACACGGATGAAGGTGGGGGCCACAAAACGTGAATAGCGTTCACGTGAATAGCTGTGAATGACAGCCTGGAAATGTGAACAATGCTCTACATGCTGGAAAATTGTACCCGCGTAAAGAAACCGCATGATTGTGGCCCACCCGAATCAAAAGAATGATATAAATATCAACGTCTCATCAAACCTAGGTAAGCGTGCAAGGTGGGAGTTTCTTCTCTGGCGGAATGATATAAATATCAACGTCTCATCAAACCTAGGTAAGCGTGCAAGGTGGGAGTTTCTTCTCTGGCGGGTACAGCAGGAGAGGGTTTCATTGGGAGTGGCTGCAGCAGCGCGGCTGATTCAAGAGTACAGAGGATTCGAGCAAAACAGAGGGGGGAAAAGCATATTGCTTTTTTCGGCTGTTTTGAAGATTTGCTTTTGTGCAGTTGTTTTAGGGTTTTGTGCTCCCCTTTTGAGAGAGATAATTGTGTGAGGGATCTGAGTGTTTGTGTGAGGGTTTAAATTGTGAGATTGTAAACCCAGTTGTATCTCTCCCTCTATTAGTAGATCTCCCCCCTCCTTGCCCCGTGGACGTAGGCAATTTGCCGAGCCACGTAAACTTTGTGTTCTTGCCGTGATTTGTAATAGCTTGTAGGTTCCCTCGACGCGCAGTCTTAGAGCTGACGAGAGGAAGAGCTGATATCTCACTTTGATGAGATATCTAGCTTTCGGTTCTTGTTTCCTTTTGAGAAACTAGAATTCCGTTGTGATCTAATCTCTTGTTGTGCACCTTGCGCACCGGAGGTGCTGCCGAAATTTTCGCTGCGCACAACAATTAACAACCAACAGACTGCAAAGAATTAAAACAAGTACTAATAGTATACAACACGAGTAACAGTAATACAAATTTCTGGCTATGGTCACTTCACATTTCTGATATGTTCATAGCTAGGAGGTGCATGTTGAAAAGTTGCATAAACAGTTCTCTGCAATTACAAATACACCGTAAGGAAAACAGCAATTAAGCTATAAATTATTTATCTGATACGCAGGATCCAACTTTCGGTAAAAAATACACAAAATTTTGAGCTCTGAATATCCCCCAAACAATACTTTTATATCAGGGGCATGTACTTATTTACTTTCTATTAGTGACAATTCTTAAGCATTCTGTTTTTATCGATCGATAAATAGATACTCTCAGTTGTCAAGCTAATGCCCAACAAAATTAGATTATTAAATTCCAAATAAACTCTTAAACAATACATTTGATATTGCAAAATATATGCATGTAAGAAGCAACATAGCTTGAGCATAACCTTCAATAATACTCAGGCTTTTGGAGAGAAATTGAAACCTTGAGAACACAATTTATAATGAAACATAAGGAGTCGCACACAAAATGAGATCATATTTGCGGCGAGCGCCTAATCCAAACTTCTCAGTCATATCAAGCTCCTTTATGCCCTCAGGCAAACTCCATTCAAAATAAAATAGAAGATTAGCAAGAACCAGCTCCATTGAAGCCATTCCAAATAAAATTCCTGGACAAATTCTTCTTCCAGCTCCAAAAGGTATGAATTCATAATCCGTTCCCTTCAAATCAACTGAGCTCCCTTCAAATCTCTCTGGCCTGAACATCTCAGGCTCATCCCAGTACATTGGATCCCTCCCCATCGCCCATGCATTGAACACGACACGGGTACCTGCAGGTATATCATAACCGTGTACCTGACATTGCTCTGAGCATTCTCTTGGGATCAGGAGGGGAGCTGAAGGGTGCAATCTTAAAGTTTCTTTTACTACTAGTTTTAAGTAGTTCAGTTTTTTTATGTGGACCTCTGTTACCTTGCCTTCGCAACCTACAACTTCTCTTACTTCGGCTTGGGCTTTCTTCAGAACTCGAGGGTTTTGTATCAGTTCGGACATAGTCCAAGTCATGGCTGCCGCAGTTGTTCCACTGCCTGCAGCAAATACATCCTGGAAGGCAAAGAAATTATCAGAAGAAAAAAACGGGAGTACTTGAAACATTCTTTAGGAGTCGAAAGCACAAGTGTGTTGATAACTTTTATATATTAGTGAGATTGTGAGAAGGTGACTAAGACACAGGTGAATCGCCAAGATGGCACTTGCGATAGTGGCCCCCTCGACAGCCCGAGGTTTGGAATTAAGAAGAGGGGATCCTAAGGTTATGAGCCTTGCTCCAGCACCATATCAAAGACTAGGAAAGAATTTCCTTACTAATGAATAACTGATACTGAAAAAGAGTGATATCATGTATATGGACGCACATTGTAGGCTATCTATAAAAATTCATAAGGAAAACTCTCCAAATAAAAGAAAACTGTAATAAAGAAAACTAGATATAACATTACATTTAATACAATGGCTTGAATCGTAAATTAAAGCTTCGCATATTGGATCTGAGCCTAGGACTAGTTCAAGTTTATATCATCTACCAACTTGTATGGTTTGACCTTTCAAATATTTAACTTTTAGTTCGTGATATGATCATCAGTTCAAAATGACAACCTCTTGAGCACATGAACTAGAGCCTTACAAAGAACTCAAAATGAGTAAACTTAAAGGTTATAAGATAAGATTATATAACTAGTTATTTCGCATTATCAATGCGTTAAAACACAAAGTTTAAGGTTTGGTGGAGGGTGCATAGGAGAAAAGGCTTTTAGTCAGTAAGATTACTTACAAAAATGATTGCCTTTATGTTGGTATCTGTAAGATATATTCCTAGCCCACCATGTGCTTGAAGATTAAAGAGAACATCCAGAAAATTCTCTTCCAGAGTTTCGGCATTTTTGAACTCCATACCCCTTTTATCCTTGTGATCTAGTATGATCCTTTCAAGAATCCTATCAACCTTATGGTGACATTTCTCAAGCTTAAACTTCAACCTAGTGACTGAACGAATCAATGTCGATGAAGGGAAAAGATCAGCCAAGCAGAATCCACTCGATAACTCCAATCCTTCTTTCATTGCTTTCAAATAAGTGCCAACATCTTTGCATTTGTTTCCAAAAGCAATTTGTGCAGTCATGTCATTTCCAAACGAATGGAGCAACTCGGTTAGATTAACAGGCAACGGGCTCATGGAACCGATCTTTCTCATGAGACCAAGTGCCTCCTCTTCTCTAATGGATCGAAATGACTGAACCCTTTTGGCGCTCAACAGCTCTACCACAAAGAGCTTGCGCAACTGCCTCCAGTATTCTCCGTAAGGAGCGAACACCAAGTCACGGTGGTCGTAAAGCATGATTTTGGCAGAGAGGATATTGGGCCTTGATGCAAATTTGATGTCATGATCTTTCATTATCTCTCTGGTCATTTCCTTGGAAGACACAACAATAGTTGAGATTTCACCAAGCTTTAGGTGCATGAGAGGGCCATAGGTTTTGGCCAAGTCACGGAGGATATGATGGGGTAAGGATCCAATTAGATGGTGCATGCTTCCGATGATGGGTAGCATTTTTGGTCCGGGGGGTAGTAATTTGAAATTTTGAGGTTTACGGGGTTTTACCAGCTTGATCAGGAATAGGAAGGCGAAGCTTATGATCAAGAGAAGGGAAGGCAGGCATGGGACTGTCATGATGGATGAAACTACTGGGATTGAGTGTCTGCATGCACAGAAACTTGGTTCATACTTATAGACTTGCTAACATAAAATTAAAGGTTAAGTAATGTGAAATGCCTCGAGTAGGGGGACCAGCTATATCTAGATTATGGTATCACAAGACTTTTTTTTTTTAATGTCTTGTAAACTAAGGTGAGTTGGAACGGATAGCTAGCTTTTGTTCATTGCAGGAAAGAAGGAAGATGCTCTGATTTTTACACCAAAATACTGACTTGTTCACCGCTGCAACGAGCTGAGCTGATCTTGACCAAGATTGAGGTTTTATTTCTTAACATGAGCTTTCAGAGGATGAGCTCAATGTCCATTTTCTCCATATGTCAGGTAATCATTTGATCCAATTTTCTCTAGTTTTTAAGATGTTGGGCATGCTGTCGCCATTTTCCCACAGTAGTCTTTAATAAACAAAATAGGAATCCACCTTCCTACTCAAAAATAAGGGAATTCAGTAATTAAGTAGGAGGATGGTTTTGCACTTGCGGTCTTTACAAGTTGAGGGACAGCAAGAAGATGCTTTGAATTTTATAAGACAACTGTTATTTGACTTGCTCTAATTGATGAACCTTTCAGCATTTGAGATATTTGAATTTTTTTTTAATTATCATCAGCATTTAGTAAGAGAGAGAATCTTTTACTTGCCGTTTAGACTGGAAGGGAAGCAATCAAAGACGCTCTAACCATTTTAATACAAATTAATGCTGATTTGTTCCAAATGGTGAATCTAGCTGCATTTGAGCTAGTTGATGTTTTCTTCAATGACATCAGCATCCAGTGGTCGCACAAAGAATAAGAACTTGGTTCCAGCTTTACAAGACGCGGGAAAACGAAAGGATGCTCAAATCATCATAAAATAGTGACTTGCTCTAAGTGAAGCATATGGCTGTATTTGAGTCACTGGCATTTCTTTAGCAGCTGTGTACTGTTTTTTCCTGTTATTTTCATCCAAGGTTTTCTATTCCTTATGAATGAGGGACTACAAGAGATTAGGTGATAATTGAAGCTCCCCATTATCTTTAACTAGAGTTGGAAGTTGACCCGAACGCAGTTGGGGTCAGCCTGAAGTAGAGATTGGATACAAGGCTCTCTTGTTGAGCGCCATTTTCATGGGCAGAAAAATAGGGACTCATGCATCAGAATATTTTAAAATCTGCTTTAAATACGTGGCCAATGGAATTTGAACCTGGATTGCACTATACACTGCACCAAAACCCTGAAGCTGTGTGAGGGTCGAGGGTTATAACCTTATAATTTTATATACACAAATTAAACAAATTCAAATTAAAGGGAATATCCTTTTAAGGTTCTCCCAAATTTTATTGTGGTATGGTGTATTTCCGAGAATCCAAGTTCATGAACCCCTCAAATTTCTAGCCTGCGGTTGTTGGTGATTGTTCGTGTTAACTCGTGGATAGTGCTTGCTTAAATGGATGCTTCGGGTAGCCATATAGCAGGTTGAAGTCACCATCTCTCGGAGTAAGTATCCTTCCCCATGAAAACAATGAGCTACACTGAAATTTGAAGACCTCTAATCTAATAGCATTTGGTTATTCAACATGGACTATGGGTCACCGTAGACTAAAACCTTTGAATTTCGTGAACCCCATCATGTTCATAATGGGGTTAATAGGCCATGGTTTGTGTCCAGTGATTTGAACTTACAAGAACGTTGGAAGAAAGGCTTGGTAGCGGAGCTAATCTGAATGACACAAATTTTTGATAGGCTCACATAAGAATGATATTTTATTGGTTTGTTGGTTGGGGGATTTTCTTAAACTTCATCCAACAAACTAGTTATTTCGTCATTTGCCAAATTGGATATGTTTGTTGAAAACCGCCAAGAAGAAAAAGAAGATATGCACAGAAGGAGGCTCATCGGTCGACTGATCGGGTATGATCAGTCGACCGCAAGAAGTTCTACAGGAGTTTCGGGTCGGTCAACTGATCGAACATGATCAGTCGACCGACAACATGCACGATTACAGGGTCCAAAATTGGTGTTCTGACCTGTTGACTGATGGACCCTCATCAGTCGACCGATGCACATTGATCAGTCGACTAATGAGGGACCATCAGTCAACTAATAGCAGGTTATTAGGCCGGTTTTGCTTTCCTAGCATGTTTTGGATTGGGTGTTTATATATATAGCAAACATATTTTCGAGGATTTTTAATCAGAGAATTTGGAGTTGTTTGAGCACTTTGAGAGGGAGATTAATATTATGAAGGAGTGAGAGATCATTGGTTAGGGTTATTTTGAGTGTTTGAGAGAGTTGTAACCCGTTGTTTTTCTCCTCCGTATAGTGAAATCTTCTCATCCTCTCCCCGTGAACGTAGGCAATTATCGAACCACCTAAATCTCTGTGTGTGTGTGATTTTGGCCGTTCTCTTATGAATTGCACTCGTTAGTTATTCTCCTCTCATTGCTCGACGACTTGTTTGGTTTGTGCGCACACTTCCGCCGACGCACAACAATGTTTTTTCCCCTAAATTGAAAAAATATTATGCATTTTCATTCTCTAAAGTATTACCCAACCATATCTTGATATCTCTTGATATCTCTTGATATTGGCACCTCTCTTGCTCCCCCTTGTCCATTCTAATTTGCGTAAATTTGGATTTCCCCAAAATGCTTATCTACCTTTGGAATTCCTTACGTCTGTCATATGCTGCTACGCAATTGGTATCTTCAGATTAAACAACTCAAGCAACAAGTCAAAGGTTTGCGCAAAATTCACTTCCATTATGTTAGTGATTGCTGCTTGGCTTCCATCGGTGACATTGATGCAGATCAAGAATCTAGGCATATGTATCACACATCATGTCTTATCCATGTCACACCCCCAAAATGCATAGCTTATTTTGAGATGCATGACAACGGTAACACGTGCACAAAGTACATGCTAAGCCTGCGGGATTACAATAAACTTCATTTTAAAAGAAACTTTATTGACAAATAGAGAAGTCTCAAAGCAAAACTATATCTACTTCTTTGTTACTAAAGGAGAATAATAGGGAAGCTAAAATGAATAGTAACCTAAGTTTATAAATAATTAAAATGAATAACCAACCCACGTTTCACACAACGATCGTTGTTGTACGTCCTCCTCTTTCTCTCTCCTCTCCGTCCTCCTCATCATCTCCCTCCTCTTGCTCCTCTCCTCCGTCGGCCACTGCAAGACCGTCTTCATCTCCTACTACACCACCACCATCACCACCTCGACCGCCATGTCATCCCTCTCTAACCACCACATGGGCCCCACCTCCCGCTTCTACGCCCATGACCCAAAACCTCCTTTTCTTTTCCCTTGAAGCGGAACGAAGACTTCTAAACCGCCATTGACTCTCAAATCTCTCTCTCAAGGCTCCAAATTTCCCTTTTTCCTTCTATTTTCGACATAAAATTTTAATCTTTTTTCCTAACAATTCGGTTTTCTTCTGAATCCAAGAGTAAAGATGCAGAACGAAGAGGGAACCATCGTCGATCTCTACATCCCAAGAAAATGACATGAATATAACATTCTTTGATTGATTTCTTTTGATTTAGGGTTTCATTTGTTGATTGTTTTTTGTTTTTTTTTCAATTTTACTCAGTTCTGCGACGAATCGATTGATTACTGCAAAGGATCGTGCCGCGGTCTAGATTTTGATGAATGGTTTGAATTTTGTTGGATTGCAGATGGTTATGATGTTAATGAGAGGTGTTCTTCGCTTCTTTCGCTAGTTAAGGCTTTTGATTCTGTTCTTGTTGTTTAGGATGGGTTTTGTAATCTGAAGTAGGTTCGGTTTTTCTTTTATGATTAAAGTCTGAATTATGATGTTTTTTCGGGGGGCAATTTGGTGATGATTTTGGGGATTTTCTGTTGATTTTAGATTGATTTGAAGCTGAAATTGTGTCTAAAGATTTTGGTTCGAGAGATGATGAGTTATGAAGCTAATAATCTCATTCTAGGGATCAAAAAGAATTGTCGAGGCATTAGGTGAGTAAAGGACCTTTTTGCAAATTTATTGAGATATAAATCATTCATTTTGTGATGAGATTGAATTTGATTATAGGTCTTCATGTACCTCGATCACGAAGTACTGTTCGAAGAAACTGCCGAAGGATTGCTCGGTTCTCACACTGAGCAATGGCAAGATTGTATTCCAGAGAGAATCCACAGGTTTAGTTTGATCTGGTTTGATACATTAAGTTTAGCTTTTGTTGATTGTCTACAATCTATGAAATGAAACCATATTTTTGTTACAAAAAACAGAAATTGTTCCAGAAACCTCAGTTGAAAACGAAGCAATCATGATTATATTTTCAATTCTCCTTGGCCATTTTTCAATTGTTTGCCAGTTATGGTAATGCTCAACTTGTGATCCATAGGGATGTTAAGTCCTCTAATATCCTTCTATCTGATGATTTTGATCCACAGGTTCGGTTTCTAAATTGTTAAAAAGTCTAAAACATGTCATTTAGTTAGTTTTTTGATCCACAGGTTCGCTTTGAAAGATTTTAGTTCTCATAGATTAGATTCTTGATACCTAAATTCTCCGATTTTTTTTTCTTTGAACAACTAGATTAGTAAATTATCTTAAATCACCTAGGTGTATGTGTTTGTATAATAGTATTCTGAACTTTTGCAGGGATTGCAATTGTGATCATAGGGGTCAGTGGCTCAGGAAAATCGTAAGTCTTCTAACTTTAAATCTACCAAAATGAAGAATTTAAAGTTAAATGGTAGCAAATAAACTACAGAGAAGTTTAAAAGAAAACTTTTTACAAAGAATGGGGATGCTTTAAAGAAGGTAATGAATATTAGATTACTGTAAAATGTCGTGTTTAACAATCTGGGCCTAAATATTTGTAGGCGTCTAAAAATATCCGTAGGTATCTACACGCAGCTCAAGACAAAGAGAAGATGATGGACATCATTTTCTAAGTCTAAACGGGATTATCCAAAGCCATAAAGAAGCCAACGAGCGCATGAAGCAAGTTGGCCAAGCGTACAAGTTAACAAATAGACAAAGTACGTAAAATGACGGAACAACAGAACAAGACCAACCCGGAGAATCCCCCGAGCCGCACCAAAAATCTTGGCCAAGGCCAGCTGACCTAACCAAAGCCGGGACAGCCTTGGCTGACCCGGCCAAAGCCGGGACAACCTTGGTTGTCCCACGCCCAGGCCGGGATAGCTTGGCTGTCCCGTGCCTAGGCCAGGATAGCTTGGTTGTCCCGTGCCCAGGCCAGGACAGCCTTGGTTGTCCCGCGCCAAAGGCGGGTAGAGACTGTCCCGCGCCCATGCGGGATACCGTGGTCTATCGTGCATCCAACTGCCCGAAACACATTTTTGACGGTTTTGTTGATATTTCTCGGGATTTGTTCGTTCCATAGCATCCCAACTGACTTGATATCATATCCAAATATGGTTACGCCATTGTTAACTAAAGATATGGTCAAATCCCTCATTCTCATCCAAATAACCGCATTCAATGCCTTATAAATACAAGCCTAGGGGCCCCATTCACAAGGGGCGAATTTTAATAAAAGAGGAGGAGGTGTTGCTTGTTTTGTGAGGGCATATCACAAAATTTCAGAGAGGACTAACAGATCTTAATGAATCTCGGCATAAAGAAGGAGCAATTCGAAGGATCTGAAGCCATGTTCCCCTATTCCTTACGATCAGGCTTGGACTTGATCTCGAGAAGAGTAGTGATCTCGTTTGGTCGAGATCATTTACTTCAACGATTAATTTATTTGTAAAGTAAGAGCTTTAATTAATCTTCTGTCAACCGGATCTGATCCGAGATGGTCCACGGATAAACCCCGTCATGGGCAAAGATTTCACGTAAACAGAGACTAATAAATAGGATCTGTGTGTTGTTTGAAAGAGATTGTAATTTTTATTTTCATTGTGTAAAAGTCTTATAAAAAGACCAATCTTTTTTTTGAACTTATTGTAACGATCAAAGTTGTAATAAGTTATACAATGAAGAAAATAATTCCCGACACGAACAATATCATGATTAAATATATTTTAAAGAAAGTAGCTTTTAAGTAGGTTTTATGCACGTCCAATGCACGTGGTCAAATATCATGATTAAGTATATTTGATTTATTTCTTTACTAAAACTTTATTTTGATAACATGTTTAATATTCGCAGAAAATCTTTTGGAAACCGTGCTTTACACGGGTCTAAATACTAGTTATAACAAGTTCACTCTAATGCGTCAAAAGATTCTTATTACATATGCATAGTAGCAAGACTCATATAACTTTAACTTTCAGCATAAAACACCCTAAAAGATCCGTCTCATGTTTCAAAGTTCTGAGATACAGATAGAGCTATCTAATTTTCATCTGAAAAAGATTAAAAAATAACGGGATGAGCTTACACTTAGTGAACAGAAAACTTATCATCAGCGGATCAGATAAGTTTAAGAATAGCTATCGTCAAAAAAATGATTAAGAAACACATAATATTTCGAATAAGAGGAATTTCCAAGAATAGATGTGATATTTCATAAAAGAATATTCACAAATTATGAAACAATACGAATGAACACTAAGTACTTTTAAAATCGTAATCATCCATCTAAATCCACACATGCAAAACTTCCTCAGTTGTCACACTAAAGCTATGCAAATTGAAGCCTAGTAGCATGGGAATGCGCATCAAATCACTATATGTTAACCCGGGGACAGAATGTACCTAATACTACCACAGGTTGCCCGAAGGCCACATCACTTTTACCAAAAAGGTCACTTTAACACTAGTCGGTACATTCAATATCATATGATAGACTTAAACAAATCACTTCACTATGACTACGATGAAACTTTTTCTCCAGTGGCTATGCTCAAGTCTATTCGGATCCTACTTGCTATAGCTGCTTCCAGTGGCTATGCTCAAGTCTATTCGGATCCTACTTGCTATAGCTGCTCACTATGACTATGAGATCTGACAAATGGACGTTAAAACTACATTTCTAAATGGTGATTTAGAAGAGTGCATATATATGACGCAACCAGAGGGTTTTGTAGTCAGTGGGAGTAGTAGAAAAGCATGTAGATTGCTTAAATCTATTTATGGACTGAAGCAAGCATCCGGAGATAGAACATTTGTTTTGATGATGCTATCAAAGAGTTTGGTTTCATCAAAAATCCAGATGAACCATATGTGTATAAAAGAATAATTGGGAGTATTATATCGTTTCTTATTTTATATGTAGACGATATACTCTTAATCGATAATGACATACCGTCATTACAAGCGGTTAAAATTTGGCTATCAAAAAGATTTTCCATGAAAGATTTAGGTGAAGCATCCTGTATACTGGGTATTCAGATCTATAGAGATAGATCTAAAAGGATGTTAGGATTATCGCAATCTAGATACATTGGCAAAGTGCTAAAACGGTTTAGCATGGAAAATTCCAAGAAAGGTTTTGTACCTGCATCTCCTGGAATCTCCCTCTCTAAAAAGATGTCTCCCCGGACTGATGAAGAGAGGAAACGCATGAGTCTAATTCCTTATGCCTCGGCAGTAGGATCGATCATGTATGCCATGTTATGTACTAGACCAGATATCGCTTATTCACTCAGTTTGGTAAGTAGATACCAATCTAATCATGGAGAAGAGCACTGGAAAGCGGTCAAGAATATACTTAAGTACCTTAAAAGGACTAAGGAGTTATTTTTGATATACGGTAAAAGTGACCTCCGAATGGAGGCTTTTTCTGACTCAAGCTTTCAGAGTGATATCGATGATAGTAAGTCTGTATCAGGATATGTTTTTACCCTCAATAGAGGGGCTGTCAGCTGGAAAAGTTCCAAGCAGGATAAAGTAGCAGAATCGACTATGGAAGCTGAATACATTGCAGCCAATGATGCAGCTAAAGAAGCTGTTTGGATGAGGAAGTTCCTTTTAGAGCTGGAAGTTGTTCCCACCATTAAAGATCCAGTACCTTTATACTGTGATAATAATGTTATAATAGCTCTGACAAATGAACCCCGATCTCACCATAAGCCCAGACACATTCTGAGGAAGTATCACTTGGTCAAGGAGATAGTTGATCGCCGGGAGATCAAGATTGAAAGAGTAGACACAAAAGATAATATAGCAGATCCATTCACAAAGGCAATTGCTCGTTCACAATTTGAGAAACTTGTTGAGCTATTGGGTATTAGATACTATAATAATTGGCCTTAGTGCAAGTGGGAGTTTGTTAGATATAGGTGTCCTACGGGCAATTATTGTATATTGTAATAGGACCTATATGTATATAACATCCTTGTTTAAAATGATAGTATGCTATTTTGGTCAGATTTATCTGATGTTCTAAAAATACAGATAATGTCCTTAGAATAAATACTAGACTATCAGACATTTCGAATAGTGATCGTAATGAAGAGATCTGATTAGTCGGTAACGTATATTCTAAAATGTTCCTAGTTGATGAAGTGTTGAGATAGGGCATCATCATTTTGGTTTAGACTAGTGTATGCTTTATTTCTCCTTTTGAAGGAGATTATCAATCTCTTAGATCATTGATGTGAGACATCAAGATATAGTATACAGGTGACTCATTAGTGAATGAGTTGACTGAACGACTCATCGAGAACATCTAGTTGGTAATATACTTAACTGTCAAATAGAAGTTCTCAAGTGATATAGTACATAGTAGTCTCTTGGCTTGAGGCATGAGTGCTATATCTTATATGTCAGTAAAGATGTATTTAGACTTTTACCTAACCACGATTCTTATTGAATTGTGCTTAACGGTTCTTGTTGGGTACATTCCGAGACATAAGTAGATATTGAGATGCCAAGAAGGGATTCGTCTCTCCCAGTATAGGGGTTGATGTCATAAGATTGTTTGATATAACTATAGCCTGGAAATCCTTGGCTAAGGTGAATAAGATAAACTGAGTGTCAGTTTGATCTTATAGGTTATGAGTTTAATATCAATAAACACTAATCAAGCTATTAGAGTTTGACGGTTTTTCATATCCTAGGCTCAACAGTTTGACATGGTTTGACGAAGTGACCGGACTGTACGGTATTATCATTGAGTGGTCCTGATAAAATTGGATAAGCATCTTGCAGACCTTTATCATAACTTATACCCGGATGGTCTTTATGTGTAGCTAGTACCTCTGTTTTTAAGTTAGGCCCTAGAGTCACACCAAGCGCATACTTGAATCCTATGAAACACAATTTATGGAGTGATGCGTATGATTGATACGCATATATGATT